TTTTGTAGCCTCTTTGATTCTCAGTTTCTGCATCAATAAAATGGGGATCTACCTATCTCATAGAAATGTTGTAAGAAAAATGTTTGCCAATCTTGAAGTGTTCAAAAATCTTAATTACTATTATATCATTATTACTACCTGTTACTTGAGCCTGAGGCTCATTCTTTTTAATGTTCTAAATGACAGCAAATCATACTCCTTTGACTGTGGATTTGATTTTTTTTTTAAAAGTCATATCTTACTACATATAGCATAGATTTACATTATTAGAAATTATCTAGACAAGAGATTCTTAACCTGAGGTTGTTAAGCTTGTTTTATAAATATTTTGATGAACTTATTTTAATGTAATTGGTTTCCTTTATAATCCTATGTATTTTATTGTATGCTTTTAAAAACACTATTCTAAGCAGGGGTCCAAAGGCTTCACCAGACTGCCCAAGAGGTCCATGACACAAAAAAGGTTAAGAATCCCTAATCTAAATCAGTCTGCTCATTGTATCCAGGAGGAAATAAGAAGATATACCAAAAAAAATAAACAATTTGCCAAAGGCTATACACGTAGCAACAGAGCTTTCAAAGAGCTTTGAGCCGTAGTCACAGTACTCAAATGTGAGACCTTCTGCAAGACTCTTAATATCTCTGGACCTTACTTTCCTCATCTATAAAATGACAGAGTTGGATGAAATGACATTCTATGCCATGAAACAGAGATGAAGAAGGAAAGAATTCTAGGCATGGGGGACAACCAGAGAAAATGTAGAGATATTAATGTGATAACCTGGTTTCTCTAAGGAATTCTTTTTCTTTTTTTTTTTTCCTCATATGATAGTTGTAGAAAACAAACGCCTGATTACTAGACTCAACAGACACTGCTCTAGACCTGTCTCTTCCAACCCAAAATAATCTGTATGGCATCAAAACATGAGTAGACTCCCAAGGAGAGAGGTTGATGTGAAAGACAACCTCTGCTAATTCTATGGCGGACATTTCCTGTGTGTCTTGAGGTCCTACCCCCTCTCCATTTCAGAATGAACCAGGATGCCATCATAGGGGTCTGTGACAGTATCTACCAGCTAAGACATGGCTCAACGGTTAATTCAATTTTGGGGCTTTTTCATGAGGGATGCCAAGCAGAAACTGGTTGGCAAAACCCACTGTGTAGCCCAGATCAGGAAAATAACTAGTATTTACGTAGTACTTTCACATTTGCCAAGCACTTTATATTCATTATCTCACTTAATCTTCACAACAATCCTGCAATGTAGGTACTATCATCCCCATTTTATACATTAGCAAACTGAGGCTAAGAGAGGTTAGGTGACTTGCCCAGGATCATAATGCTGGTGAACAAGATTCAAATTCAGTTCTTGATTTAACACTAGGCGTGAGATAACTATGTGCTATTGCTACAGATCTCTTTTGTTGTTGTTGCTATTGTTTGTTTTTTAATAAAATTCACTTAACTCTACAAATGCAGGTCCTTCACATGATCACTTCGAGGACCTTATGTAGATGAGACACAAGTATATAAAGAGGTACACTTACATACTTGTGCTGTTTATTTCAGTTTCCCAACTACTCATCTATGGACAGGTACAAATCCATAGTATGTTTTGCAAAGAACTTTTATTATCAAGGGTCATTACTCCTTGAAAATTATTTTTTAAAGTGATTCCTCCTTCTACCCTGGGTACCACTTACTCCTGAGCTAATAAAAGCTAAGACTGCAAAAAATAATTTTCATAGTCTTAATTCTAATATTTTGGGGGTTAACAAGTTGCAAAATCCTGTTACAAATACAATATGGACCCACATGAGTATACTTGACCACTTTTTCAAATCTTAGGCAAGTCAACTAACCTGTCTTGGTCTCTTTCCTTGTGTGTAAAATGAAGCAGATGTATGGCTAAGGTCCCTTTCAAACTACAAATCTAAGACCTCAGACTAAAAGTAAAATATTGTATTACAATTTGGTAAGAATAAAATGGCTATTTTCCCAATGTAAAGAACACTATTTAATTGGAAATGTATAACCCCCTATTTCTAGAGCTCATGAGTGACTTCCCAGTCACACCTAACTGGATTTAATAGAATATCAAGTTCACAAGAAAGATATACTTGCCAACAATCAGTTCCTGGAGGCAAAGAGTGAGAGTGGCCAAAAGAAGAAAATACTTGTAATAACACTCCTATGAATGATAATACGGTATAGCAGAAAAAGTATTGAACATGAAGTCAAAGGAATTATGATAGCAAGTCATTTAAACCTCTCTGAGCCTAAGTTTTCTGCTCTGTAAAATTGGAACAATAATAATACTCAAACAACTTAGGACTCTGGGTTATCATGATGAGTTTACAAACCTTAAAAACCTATGCAAGTGTGAGTGATCACTATCTAGGAAATGTTCTATCACTAGAGTATATGGGCAGAGCTAAACTGACATCAAGAAGAGCAATGATTTCTGGAATTGTTCATGTAATTCTAGGAAACTCAAAATATCCTGAATCAACGAGGAAAGAAAATACTCCAACATCTAGGAGAATTCATTTACAAAGGTCTTCCCCATCATCCACATTTTCTTTGGTTCTCTGGAGCAAACAGTGGTTGGAGTCAATCTTCCCCACACTGCCATTTACAATTTTTCTGTACAACTTCTGCAGTCAAAGTAATACAACAAAGCAATTTCCATGTCCTGGATGAAAATTCATACTAACACTGTTTTGTAAATACGGACAAATAAATTGTGTGGAATTAAAAAAAATTAGAAGGACACATGCAACTATTCCTTAATGATTCAGCAAATAATCTGTTTTAACAAAAATGTATCCTTTTTGGTGTGGTGCTCATTTACCATTTGGTGTGGTAATGGGATTTGAGTTTAAATTTCAGATTTGTAAGGACCATGTATATGCATAAATTGGACTTTTTATGATAGGAAAGGGGAAGGCAGTAATATTTAAAGAGCATTCCATAGATTTTTTCCTACACAGACTTTTGGATAAGATGAATATCCTCATCCTGACCGCCTACGTAAGAGCATCTCCATGCCCTGCCATAATCTATTATTAGAAGTTAAAATTTGATTACAATGATAGGGACCTCTAAATGTCTTATTGCTAGGCAGAGGTACACAACAAGTAGTATGACAGCTACCAACCAAGAACCAACAGAAAATTTCCAAAACAATAGTGAAAGATTGCCCTCAAATCCCTGAAATATTTTAAAAGTTATAATAAATTTATAACACTTGATTTCTAATGTAATCTGCATTTGTGGAAGGAGTGCCCCACAATAATGAAATTACAAATCCTTTACAAATGAAATGAAATTAAAATATTTTACTGTGATCTCGATAACAGATGACCTGAAAGTGTTTACACTTTCCAGGCTTGTTTATTTTTTTAAACTCTGTAAATAAAAACATCTCCTTCTGCTCAACACGTCTTCCTTTAACAGTAACTTGATACGGTCTTGAAGATGGAGTGAATACCACATGTTTAAAACAAATTAAAATCTTAATAAATAAACAATACATCTACATGTTAAAAGAGGTTTGGGTACATGGTTCCTATTGGTATTTTTTTTTTTTTTTACCATGACACTTATTACTTGCTTACAGTTATCTCAGGAGTAGTTCCAACTAATTCCAGTTAACTCATGATCATAAGAAACTCTAAATCTCCAGTATATCTCACTCTGGGTCCATTCCTACCACCAAACTCACTCGAAAGACTAATATTCATCCAGGTAAACATTCACTTAGGTCTTTGGACTCCTGCCCAGTCTACTGCCTTCTATCCCAAGAAGGAAGAAAAGGTGCCAGCAATAGGCACCTAACTCCTGAATTCATGCCAAATTCATGCAGGGCCTTCAGGGTAAGCATAAGATAAAGATAAAGAAAAGAAACAAATTGATGAAAAATGCTAACAGGCAAAAGGGAAAGGACAGGAAAGAAAGGGGGAAAAAAAACACACTGGCAGCAAATTGTGAGTGAGGAATAAGATTCAAAAGAAGTAGAAACTAATATAAGAAAAGCAAGTTGTAGAGCATCTGTAAAGAAAGATAAATAGAAACCCAATCCTAACAACATCGAAATTCAATATTACCTTATTTTTGTAATATAAATTTCATTAAACAAACATTTATTGTCTACTATACATTACTTATTCATAGCATTCAAACACATGGAATACAATCATGCTTGTTACATAAACACATAGGACTACTTTTGTAGTACTTCCTTCAAGGGTAAGCAGAGTGCCTAGGAGGTTTACCCCAAGAAGTAAACGTTGCAAACAATATCTATTAAGTAATATCATGTCATAGATATTAACACACGTTTCATCTATTTAATAGCGAATGAATTTTACAATTCAATTATGTAGCAAAGAAATTCATTATCCCACTAGGAATTAAATGAGTAACTCCATCAAAAATCAAACTAAAATTGTCTGTGACATTAGCTCAATAACAGATTTTTAATAAAATGCTACAGAACTATATCAATCACATTTCATTCACTGAACATCAACACATGTGGATATGACCTCATTTCAGTAATAGTCACATGGAAAAAAAGTAATCTTAAAGGAAAATTATCTTACAAAACATGAGGGTATATTAGGCTATCAAAGGGGAGACTAGGAGAGAAAGTAATCTGTGGAGAGCTGTGGATAACTTTTCTGTATGACTTTGAATATAAATGATAGACTTTACTATACATATAGTTCAGAAACTATAAAGATACGGGCTACTGGTAGGAACAAGCAGAATTATCCTTAATCTTTCTGTTCATTTCCCCCACTTAAAGTTACTAAAATCAATCTACAAAATACTATAGTATTACAAGTATACATGATTCACATTTGGATTAAAATAGCAGTATAATAGATGGCTGATAAGACTACCCCTGCCTTCAGAAAACCTCTACTATATAACTTTAGAATCCTTACTGAAGTTAGGCATTTACTTTCATTTATAAGGAAAATATACTTACATGTGTGGGTTTTGAACTCCTGAAGGATTCAAGGTAAATCGTGCTGTAGATTTGAAAGGTGGATTTGCAAAATTCAGCTTCAGTGCTTTACGTTTACCTAGAAAATGCAAATAAGAAATAAAATTGTGTACCATAAATAAAGATGGACTATTTAGAGAGCATAAGACACGCTGAGGCCCAGGAAGATAGAAGAGAAGCATTAGATGGGACAAGAAGGGGGGCAGTTGCCCCAATAAAGAGCTTATCTACGATTTTTTTTCCCCAACTGTATTTTGTTTTCAGTTCCAAACTCCCTCTACCCACTGAGAAGGCAAGAAAAACAAACCCCATTAGAATATGCAATCATTCAAGAGGGAAGAGAAGAGGGGAGGGAGGAAGGGAAAATGGAAGGAAGGAAGGAAGAGATTTAGATATGCATTCTGACTCCATCAGTTCTCTATCTGAACATTGATAGAATGCACCACAGAAAGAGTTCTTACAAATATTTTTATAAATATGGCTCCTTTGTCTCCCTCTTTGAACTGCTTGGCATGCAGACCTAGTAGCAGTACCACTGGATTAAAGGTTTAACAGCTTTCTGGGCATAGTTCCAAATTGCTTTCCAGAATGGCTGGACCAGTTTAAAGCTGTACCAATAGTGCCTTAGTGTACCTGTTTTCCCACACCTTCTCCAGCTATTGTTATTTTCTTGTCTTGTCATCATAGCCAGTCTGATGGGTATAAGATGGTATCTCAGAGTTGTTTTAATTTGCATTGCTTTAATTATTAATGATTTTAGAGCACTCTTTCATATGGCTATGGATAGCTTGGGTTTGTCCTCTGAAAACTGCCTATGTCTATTTATAAATCAAGGCTTTTATTCTTACAAATTTAACTCAGTTCTCTATATATCTCGAAATAAGACCTTTATTAGACAAACTTGCTAAAATGTTTTTTTCCCCCAATTTCCAGCTTCTCTTCTGATTTTAGCAGTACTGGTTTTCTTTGTGCAAAAACTCTTCAATTTAATATAATCAAAATTGTACATTTTCTGTTCTGTGAATCTTTCTGCCTCTTGTTTGGTCATGAACTCTTCCCTTATCTGACAGGTAATTTCTTCCATGCTCCTCTAATTTGCTTAAAATATTGTTCTTTGTATATAAATCATGTACCTATTAGGTGCTTATTTTAGTACATAGTATGAGATGTTTATCTATATTTAATTTATCCTCCCAATTTTTGTGGAGTAGTGAGTTCATAGTTGGGAATTTTAGGTTTATCAAACATTAGGTTACTGTGCTCATTTGCTTCCTGGATATTGTATACCTGATCTATTCCACTGATCTACTTCTCTATTTCCTATTGAGTACCAAATTGTTTTGACAATTACAGCTTTGTAATTTCGAGTAATTTGTAGTTTCGAGATCAGGTACTGCTAGGCCTCCTTCTTTCCCATAATTTTTCATTGTTCCCTTGATCTTCTTAACCTTTTGTTCTTCTTAATGAATTTTTGCTATTATTTTTTTCTACCTCTATAAATAAAGTTGTCCTTTGATAGTCTGATTGGTATGGCACAGAATAACTAAATTAATCTAGGTAATATTTTTGTTATATTGGCTTACCCCTAATTTTGAGCAATAACTATTACAGTTATTTAGATCTGACTTTATTTATGTAAAGAGAAGTAGATATTTTCTCTAACCCTCATAACTTCTCAAATCTCTCAAGAACAAAAATCATGCACCAAAGATAAAGAAAATCATCTGTCTCCATGATCTAGGACACCCAGAATCCAAAAGAAAGTTTAAAAAAAAAAAAAAGAATTGAAGCTTACTGATCCTAAGCTCCCTCAGCACCTCTCCTCCAACTCTCATGCTACAGGTAGCAAAAATGTACTGGCAGATCCAAGCACCTGACAAAGAAAAACCCACCCCTACACCAGGTTCCCCTCACCTCTTTTCAATGAATGCAGACCCCAGCCTTTCCCAAACAAAAGTTTGCTGCAGGACTACAACCCTGTAACACTAGTACTGCAAAGCTCTAAACTGCCAGTGATAGGGCAAACAGCACTGCAAAGAACTGTAATACTAGTGCAAGGTCAAAGAAGTGAGAACATGAGGGGGCAGCTAGGTGGCAGTGGATAGAGCACCAGGCCTAGAGTCAGGAAGACCCGAGTTCAAATCCGGCCTCAGACCAGACACTTAACACTTAACTCTTACTAGGGTCAGGTATGTGAGCCTGGGCAAGTCACTTAACCCCAAATGTCTCATAGAATGAATGAATGAATGAATGAATAAAAAAAATGTGAGAAACTGAGGGGGCAGGACAAGTTACCAGGTCAGGCAGGACATTGTGTTGGGGGGGAGGGGAAAAGGGAGGGGTTGCTGCTGTGCAGAAACCCACTAAGCCTGAGGGCAAGAACACTCCATCCAGCTGGGGCCAATTCTGACCACCCAAGAATCACTTCATCACTTGGGACAGAGACCTTGGCTAGTAAACCATGAAATGCCCAACATGGGAGGAGGCTGAAATGTTTTGAGATCCAGCCACTAAAGTAACCACCATCAGAATACTACTAGGGGAAAATGAAAAAAAATTTTAAACGACTCAAGTTACCAAAGATCTCAAGAAAAAGAAAAGTCAAAGACTGTAAATAAATGTGAATATAAAGCAACACAGAAAACATTAACAAAAAGAAATACAGCCTCCAGATCTAGTAAATAAGTTCAGGCACCTATGAATAAATATGCAAAATGGAGAAAAATGATCCAACACATGATGAAACAAAGTAATCTATGGAATTTGATGAGAACATAGAATAACAATATGCTGTTCCTGAGTGGTTTCAAAGAAAAATGAAAATTATGAGAGCAGAATTTATGGTTTGTGCAGTAAAAAGAATAGGTAGAATGTAAAAACTGAAATCTGGCAAGTCTCATCAAAGAAACAAAAGAGAACAATAGATTGAAAATGCAAATAAAGAGAAGTGAAAGACAATCTAGAAGAGAAGCAAAAACATTAAAAGAAAATATGCTCACTATGCAAACAACACATTGATCTCGAAGGTAAGGTGTGTAGAAACAACCTAGGGATTACAGGTTTTCCAGAAGAACATCACAAGACCAAAAAACCTAAATTCCAAAATACAGGAAATAACAGAAAAGAACGACCTAAGATTTGTGAACAAAGAAAGTGAGATACCAATTGAACAAATTCATAGAACAACTCTCCAGAAAAAACCCCCAAGGTTGTAAACTCCAAGATACATATTGGTTAAATTTAACAATTAAATTCAGAAACAACAATACAAGCTATGAAAAGAAAAACCAAAAGAAAGAAAACTCAAGTAACACAAAACTATTTTGCCCCTACCAGAAAAAGGAGGTAGAAATGGAATAATGTGTTCTAAAGAGTAATGGAGCTCAGGGTGCAACTGAGGGTGAAATTCCCTACAAACCTGAGCTTAATCACACATGAAAAATGATAGACGTTTAATAATAAAGAAGTATTTGAAAAGAAAACCACAAATAAAGATTTGCTTCTCAAATACTCCAAAGAAAAACACAGGAGAAGTGAATAAACACAGCAGTCAACAACTGCGATGACAATGGAGTGACAACAGAGAGACCAGTAAGAAACTTCTTTCTAAATGTACACAAGGAGGCAGAAGTGGAAGCAGAAGTTTGGTAGAGGCAACAGTGAAGAGGTGGGCCTGAGGCATTATGGACAGAACCTGGTTGACACTCTTCCTGCCATCAAACCATAAGGGTTTTGGTTGTTGTTGCCACTGCTTTTTAAATAGGACTACATTACAACATGGGAAGATACACAAAAGGGGGGGATGGGGGAGCAAGAGGATAGAGAGGAATTTGTAATGTGCTGGGGTCAAAATAGAGGCGAGCAATTAGTGAAGGTCACTCCTCTGGTCTCAGAAACAGAGGAGCTGACAGGAAAGTGGGTAAGGAGCAGGGGGCAAGAACTGAAAAGGGTGGGGAGAAGAGAGTCTTGCTTTGATGGTAGGAGGTAATGGGAACAATGCCACCTTAAAAAAGATTAAAGTAAAGTAACTAAAAAAATATAGTACTATGTTTACAGCAAATGAGGAAGGAAAATCATAACTTAAAAAAAATTAGAGACAAATGGAGGAAAATATAAATCTAATTCTCTAATTTTAAATGTAAATGGTGTAAACCAGGGGTGGGGAACCTGCGGCCCTGAGGTCATGTGTGGCCCTCTAGGTCCTCAAGTGCAGCCTTTTGACTGAATCAAAACTTCACAGAACAATTCACCTTCTGAACTGATTTCAATGAAACAAATATTTAAGTAACAATGGTGTGTTGGAAATGGCATTAGGTACTAAGAATTAAAAACAAAATACCTCTTGCATTCAAGGACCTTAGAATCTCCTTGGAGACCAAGAGACGTTTTATTTACTTAAATCCTTAACTGAAGACAAGAAATCTCAATTTCGTTCTTATTTCTGGAAGATCTTATTTCAGGTTTATTAATGAAACTTATCTACTCTCCTCATTTTACCTTCTCTTCTGACAATTTATATTTCTCCTATTTATCTATGTCCTGCAGGAAGCTTTAGGATATTCATTGCCATAGTTCCCCTGTAAAGTAAAATGGACTAGCGCTTTTTCTTAGAAGGCACTGAATCTGTTCATGAAACTAAACTGATCAGGGACCTAAGGCCCTACTCATTGATAAAGCTTCCTGACAGCCTGAATGCAAACAAAACACCACAACAAGATACACAAGGACTTCTTGGAGATTAGGGTCCTTGAGGCTTCAAAATGAGAAACCAGAAGGAAAACCAATACTGAGAAGTAATGTTCAACTTAACCAATTAAACCCTTAAGGAAAATCCTTTGCCTGTTCTGGAGTCCTTTCCCTACTCTAGGTAAACCCCTTTTTGCTAACTGCTAGAAGGGCTACTGAACTCATTTTGTTCCAGTCTAAAACCTAAATTATCCACACTGGCATGGCCAACCTTGACCTATTAGAAACTTCTATGCCAAAAATGTCTTTCCAATCTAATACTTTACTCCCCGAGTTCCAGAAAAGTGTTGAGAGACCAACTATGCTTATGTTATTTTTTACCAATCTGAGGGC